GCAGAGAGAGTTCCTATAAATCCTTCCCCCAAAACATGCCTGGTTTGGCATGCTCCAAGGTACACAGCACAGAGAAATACTCCCCAAAAAACAGAGAACACCGATGTATGGGGGTTCTAGAGCAAAGCTCAAGACAGCCAAGATATTTAACAGAAAAAGAGGGGTCAGGCAGAGATTAACAGTTATTACTGCGCCACCACCCTGGCAATGTGCAGCCCAAGTAATTCAGGAACTCTTTTGGAAAAGCAAATATAAAGAGGAGCGATTTTAGCTCGGTACGGTAGTTATTTTGCAGACTTACCGCCTGGCCCTGGCCCAGGCTCGGGCCTGCCGGCGCACACCGGGGAAGCGCCCTCATGGCCGGCCTGGCTCCGGGGCTCCCGCAGGCCTCGGGCTCCGCCGCGCCCTACGGGGAAACAAAGCACAGTGAGTACCGGCAGCAGCGGACGCTCAGCACCGGCCCGCGGCCGCTCCGCTGGGGCATCAGACACGATCTGGCTTGGACAGCGATAGTCAACACTGTCGGTCTGACGGGGAAAGAGTCATCACCGCTACCAGCGAACACCGCGGAGCTCCGCGTGACCTTGCCGGGAAGAGCGGCCCGAGGCCGGTGAGGCGCCCTTGGGGACGGCCCCGAACCGAGCGGGAGCGGGGCGGTCACACGGCGGGGCGGATGCCTCGGGGGCACACAGATAGCCCTGGCCGCCCGCCTCCAGGAAGCGGCAGAGGGGAATCCCGGACCCTCCAACACCTTCACCTACCTCAGCCGATGCGGAGCAAGAGGCCGAGGAGGGCCACGCGCTGGAATTTATGGGCTCCGCATGCCCCGCCCCGGGACCGCCCCGCTCGTCCCGGGACCGCCCGGGAACCGCCCCGGGACCGCCCCGGAACCGTCCCGCTCGCCCGCGCTGAGGGGCCGCCATCGCCGCCATGCCGGACGGTGCCGCGGAGCCATGCGGTGGAGCCGCTGCTATTCTGTGGGGAGCAGGGGCCGGGCCGCCCTGTCCTGCACTGTCCTGCTCTGTCCTGTCCCGTCCCGTCCTCCCGCCGCTGTGGCTGGCTCGCAGCCGGGGCAGGGGGCGGGAGGCGCGGCCGCCGCCGCCATTTCGCGGTGCGGGCGCTGCTCCGCATGGCCCGGGCCGTGGAGGCGGCAGCCCGCAGTATCGGTACGCTTGGTTTCCTTTGCTGGGATGGGCGAGCGTGGCTTTGGACACGTAATTTTCTTCTACAAAATAAAATAAAGAACAAGAGTTAAGCGCCCACATCCATCGCGGCCGTGCTGAGCCCGCAGCCGCCGCAGCGCTCACTGCTCGCCGTGCCTGCTCAGCCCCAGCCCCGCTCCTGCTGCTCCCGGAGCTCGGCTCGGGGGGACCCTGCCCCTGCCTGCGGTACACAGCACGGCTTTTAGGTGCTTCACACAGTAAATTATGTTGCGTTAAATAGTTTGCCACTGAGTAATGCGAGGAATAAAAGAGAAAACAAAGGATGTGTCTTGAATGAGATCAGGCCAGTTCGTAAGCCAAGCACTGCCGTGAGCGGTGATTTTTATAGCTAAGATTCACCTTGGGAACGGGGTGTGAGTGCAGCGATGCGGCTCTGGTGGAGCCCCGCCACACGCCGAGATCCTGGAGGTGCTCCCCGTGCAGGAGCCAGCAGGAGCGCATCCCCCCGTGCCCAGCTCTCCATCTCCCCGTGCCCATCTCTCCATCCCCCCGTGCCCAGCTCTCCATCCCCCCGTGCCCATCTCTCCATCCCCCCGTGCTCATCTCCCGGTGCCCTTCCATCAAAGGAAGGATATTTTAAGAGGATTACACGGAAAACGAATCTTGTTACACTGCAAACCCCTGTCACATGCACCACACAAAAGGAACTGTAAACGTGATTTGTGTTGCCTAGCTTGGCAAGGAAGGGGAAGTGGGGAGGTCTGAGATAGGCAACAGCTGCAGCAGAACTTGGTATTAAGTTTATTGGATTTTATGTTTGGGTTTTATTCTCCTTGGCAAAACCAGGTGGAAAAGCCCTCACAGGGGCTCACTCTGTCGCATCTCTCATGTGCCAGCACCGGATCATTCTCTTCTCTGAGGAAGGGGAGGCAGGAAAAGAGGAAATGTTCCTAAAACTGCTAAACAAGGCTTTGTTCGATTAAATGTTTCATGTGCAATCCTCTAAACTGCTACACTGTTATGTTCAGGGTTCTTTTAAAATCAGAACTGACTATGAAGAAATACAAACTTTTTTGGGATACAACCTCTGCTTGCCCAACATAATAACCTAAACCAGAAAATCAGCACCAGATGCCTGCAATATTCTTGACATTTGTAATACAGGTTGTGATCTTCCAGCAAATGGACTTTATTAAAAAATAAAGATAGGCATCAAGAAAGCCACGGAAAGATCTCCCTGAACTGTTGGGTCAGCAGCTTCACTGTGATAGACAAAATAAAACAGTCAGCACACTGATGGGGGTTGGTAAAAAAGCTTCATGAGCTTCTGCCACATCACACACACTGTTCTTTCAGAATAGGAAAAATCCCAAACACAAAATTCACAGAATGGATTACTGCTGTGGCTCCAGTGCTCCCCATTCCCATTTGGCCCTCCTACGAAGCTTTTTGCAAGAGCTAAAAGGTGTATTTTAGCTATCTTGCAGGTCAACATTCCCAAAAAAATTGGCACAAGTTCTTTAAGATCTTAATCCTGAAACCAAGACTGATGGATCACAAAGTCCTATTTCTTCCTTGGGGAGTCAGAAACAAGAACTCTGTCTCAGCTGTGTCCGCCTTTGCTGCACCAGGCACAGAGGGGACAACAGGAGAAGTGAGGGACTGTAGCACTGAGGCAAAGCCCCACTTTAATCCAGAGCTCATGTCAGTTTACCCAGCAGCCAGGCCGTGCCACGGAGTGTCCCAGCAGGAGGCTGTGATTGCAGCAAGGGCTGGGACAGGAGACGCTTCTCTTACACAGGCCCAGGAGGGGATCAGGGCGTTCAGCAGCACTGAACAGCTCTGTGGCAAAGTGCCTTAACCCAGGTTCCTATAAAACACAGCACTAGCACAAGTGACTGCTGCAGAACAGTCCCAGGAGCAGCTCTAGTCCCATCCCAGGAGAAAACTCAGCAGCAGCAGATGAAGGTGGGGAGAACCTGGGCCCACTGCTGTCAGTGTGCTCCCTGCTTTCCAATAGCAATTGTTCAGTAAAGAGTTTATGAGTTGGAAAAATTTGCAATACAAAGCCTCAGCCTAGCAAGTTTCTTTTAATTTTTAAATGTACAGCATTTTAGTTCTACAAATGTAAAAAAAATTAAAAACAAAAAAAGCTTTACAATGTTTGGGGTTTTTTAGCTTATAATGATCACACCCAACGTGATTCAA